AAAAAAAAAAAAAAAGCAAGGATAAGTGTCGCGACGGATCTATATTGATTGTCACACTGAGAGTTCCAACTATTTTTAAACGATTGGGCACCAGTTTCGCCCGCATGAAAACGAGGGAGTGGAAGTGGGAGGACGTGTGGGCGAGGTTGCAGTCGATGGGCGTGACGAGGGATGCAGTCGACTGCGGGAAGAAATGGGACAACGTGATGCAGCAATTCAAGAAGATCCACAAGTTTCAGAACCTCTCCGGCGGGAAAGACTACTTCAAGCTCGCATCGAAGGCTAGGCGATCGGAGGGCTTCAGCTTCGTCATGGACCGGAGCGTGTACGACGAAATTGAGGCCATGACGAAGGGGGATCACACGATCCACCCGAAAAATTTGGCGGACACTGGGGCGGCCGGTGGGGTTCAGATGCCGGCAGGCGCGGGTGCTGCAGGGGACACCGTGGCCACTGAGGGTGGAGGGGAGGCAGCCGACGAGGAGCAGGGGTCGACGAAAGACTCCACATTCAGCGCGGGGAGCGGCGGCGGTTATGGGAAGAGGAAGAACATGCGGCAACAAACCTTTGAGAGCGTCGCCGAGGTCATGGACAAGCATGATGCGCTTATGGCGAGCACAATGGACAACGCGAGCAAGCAGCAATGCTCGATGATGTTACGTAAGTGCGAAATCCTAGAGAGCGAAGTGGAAGTGTAAAGGAAACATTATGCTGCGGCGGATGAGGCGAACAGAATGATGTGCGACGCCCGTATGGAGATAGCAAAAGCCATCCGCGAGAGATCATGAGTGATACTGCCAATTATGTCCACCGTTGCTTTAGTGGCCTGACTCTCCACTCGTTGCGCCTGCAGAGATGGCGACCTGTGTTTGTGTGTTTGTGTGTGTGTGTGTGTGTGTGTGTGTGTGTGTGTGTGTGTGTGTGTGCGTGCGTGCGTGCGTGTGTGTGTGTGTGTGTGTATGTGTGTGTGCGTGTGTGTGCGTGTGTGTGTGTCGTCGCCAAATGCTCAGCAATACCTTTTTTAGAATCTTTTTTTTTTTATAGTTGGTGTGCTGCATTCGCGGTCTCCACAGCGAGAGGTCCAAGTTGTTGAAGGGGTTATGTAGTTCTAGGATTGCGGTGGACGGGGGTTCCACCGTTCGTGTCCAAGAAATTGCGCGTCGGGGGGGTGGGGAGGGGTTGGGGGGGGTTGGGGTGTTTTAGGGGGGCGGGGGGTGGGTGTGTGTTTTTTTTTTTTTTTTTTTTTTAAAGAAAGCCATATTGGCCCGTAGAGAGTGTATGGACGTGCTTCTGCAGAGGCGTGGAAAGGTCTGTATGCGCCTCAGGGAGCTGGGCATGGCAACAGTTGAAGGGAGTGTGCGCGAAGGAGGTCTGCAGAGTTGCTGTAATACGTGTCGCTGCCGACGACAACGGCAGGCGAGGAATCGTCGTCGGGGCCCGTCCGTCTGCTCCATGCTTTCGATGCGTCGGCGCCTCCTCCACCATACAGGTCTTCCGCTTGTGGCCTCTCCAGCATTGAAGGTCGGCGCACACGGTGCACAGCGACGACATCCACGCGGGACACCCTCTGCCTTTTCTCCTCGTCGTCGCACCTCACAGCCACTACGAAGTCGCCGTTTTCTTTGCAGTCGTCAACATCTCGGATGTCTTCAATGTCGTCGTCGATCATCGTTGTGGATCTTGTCGCTCTCCTTCTCGCCGCGGATCCTTCTCGCCGTGGATCTGAATCGCCCCGTCGGAGGTCCGGCATCCTTTAGTCGCGAAGATCTTCTTCTCGCCGCGGAGCAGTGTCTGCAGGGTTCATCTCCTTCTCGTCTGGGACTTCTTCAGTGTCATTGTCGATCATCGCTGTGGATCTTCTCGCTCTCCTTCTCGACGCGGATCCTTCTCGCCACGGATCCTTCTCGCCGCGGATCGGTGTCGCCCCTTCGGAGGTCAGACGTCGCTTAGTCACAAAGAGTTTCTTCTCGCCGCGGAGAAGTGTCCGCACAGTTAATCTCCTTCTCGCGTTCGCGTCGACGTGGGGGTTGTGTGTGTGGCGAGGGCGAGGACGCATTGCTCCCCAGGGCGGCAAAGGCGCTTGTTCGTCGTCAATGCGAACACAGGCGTAGCGACAGACGACCATTGACGGAGGCGGTGTCGGCGCGAATACCCTTATAAGGGTATCCGCCCTGGTTTTTTACAAGTGGCAGAAAATAGGTTTGGTTTGAAATTTGAGTACAATGCATGAGTTGCGGTTGTGTTTTTGTTCACGTTGAATGAATGGTTGACTATAAGCAAAGTGTGTGTGGGCGTGCAGTTTTGAGGCGCGCGTGATGATTTTTATTCTTGATGCTATAGAGTTGGCGTTTCCGTCGGCAAAATGTTTGGCTTTGATTAAAACTAGGAAGAGGTTTTCTTTTATTGAACCGACCACAGTACATCTGCGTTCATACGGCGGGCGTCATTGGAAGTGGTGTTGCTTTGGGCAGTAATTGGGGTGTGCGAGAGAAAGTAGAACGCAAGCGGTGACCTCCGCGCGGTAGATGCGGGAGGTTGACAGTCGAGGACGGAGCCAGGCCCTATGAGCCGCGGACGCCATAGGTTGACAGTCGTGAGTTTGGTGCGTAGGCGAAGGAATGGCCTTGACGTATTTTGATAGGCCCGCGCGCTGTGTGGCAACAGTTTATATTGAATTTTGCAGTGGTTCATCTCAGCCTTGGGTACTCGCACTATTGGTAACGACATTGGACTTTCAACGCGATGGTACAAGGATTGAAGGCAGTGAACGGCGGCGATGGAACATCGCAGCGGCTGAAGATGCCGAGGGGTTGAGGGCCCGGCGGGGCTATCCCCCTTGGTTTTGTTGCCGGCCCATCCGTAGGCCCGGTTGGAGGAACTGAGAGTAGTATTGACAGTCTCTCTTCCCCAAAGCACCGGTTCCCGATGCTTATGTTTTTATTTTTACTCTTAATTTTTTTATTTTTTTTTTAATTATCAGTCTTGTTTCTGGGACGTGGCACCAACATCGGTACTAAGGTTGTTTGCAGGGTATCGCCCAGCGTGGGCTGAAGGGGCCAGCGGTTGCAATCTCCGCGAAGTGGCCGTCACCACAGTCGACGACCTTGACCACACGCCTCTTTCGGCGGACCCATTTGGGTTCCGGCGTGTTCTGAATGCTGGCAAAATTCCTTTATCCTACCCATGTTGAAGCACAGGCCAAGGAGTCAGCAGCTATGCCAACCAATGAGTGTGTAGCCAACGAGGCAGAAGAAACCGAGTGGCGGGAACCTCCTGCGGGTCCACCATCCGCCAACCATGATCTGCTGCAGGGGAGCTGTCCGCCACTCGCGATCTGCAGTGAGAGGTTCGTAGAGTTCTTACCTAACTTGTGGATGGACCAGCAATGACCAATTCACCATTGATGCAGACACCCAGGGCTTTGTCCCACTTGAAAAGGTACACTGGTATGACCTGAACCACGCACAACACCTTGAATCGGTCGGTCCCAAAATCAGCATATTTTGCAGATTTTTGGGGCCGCAGTGTGATCAGTCCCATTGGGACCCGAAGAAAGGAGAGTTGTGCTCTGGGCACAGCAGGTAAGGGTGGTGGCTGCAGCAGCACTGACTGTGTCCAGTTGCGCATTTGGAACCCTTCTCTAGTTCAGTCTTCAAAGCCCTCACTTGAAGGGTTGTTACCACCCCCAAGATCTGCACAAGGAACAGCTAGCCGAGCATGACCGGTACACCCCCGAGCTGCTGATATACGGGTTCAAGCTCGAACCAGGAAGCTTTTGAGTGGGGAAGGTGAAAACCACTCAGGTTTGCTTAGGCCCAGTCGGCTCACTGGAGGTGTCCTAGTGCCATTTTCCTGCCTGTGTCCTTCGGGACGTCCACTAAAATTGGAACGATACAGAGAAGATTAGCATGGCCCCTGCACAAGAAATGACATGCATAAATTGAGAAGAGTTGGCACGTCCCCTCACTTTCTCTTTATTTTTCCTACGAGGTTTGCGGTCCGACCAACCGCAGTTAGGGCCTCGTTCCACTACCCTAGACTTGAAAATATCTCAAGGGCAGCCCTACAGGCGCCCTTGAGCGAAAACGTAATTAAAAAATACTAGAGTGCGTCTTCGTTCCACTGCACCCTGCAGTTCCCGCTCGCACAAGGAGCGGGAAAAAGTGCGGCCCGGTTCGTTACAATATTTTCACCACCAGGCCCGTCGCTGGACCAGGACCACCGCGGTTCGCAAAAAAAAAAAAAAAAAAAGGACCAGACGAGGGGGCTGAACTGTCGTTCGGCGCGCGTTGCCGGCTTTTCCAAGAATTTTCAAGCCACCTCTGGGAGGTGACTTGAAAATTGGCCCAATTTGCCTCGGCGCCCTACGGCCGCCCTCGAGTCTAAGAGCGGGATTTTCTTCAGGCGGGAAGCTTAATCACTTTCCATTGTGATTAGCAGATCTCAAGGGCCTAGTGGAACGGCGTCGCCCTTGAGATATTTTCAAGTCGAGGGTAGTGGAACGAGGCCCTTATTCTGCGCTACGGGAACGAAGGTGAAAACTGCGCTGGCCTCTGGCCTGCCTAAAGTACAGAAGGGGAGGATCAAATTAAAGGATGGATCTGCACGGGATGCCCGCCGGGGTGCATTCGAAGATGAAGAAGAGGGAGAGTAACTATGGCGGGCTGCAAAAACATTTAGCTCACTCGATTCTTGATGGAATCAAGCGAACCGAGAGTCGAATTTGGGGTTATGAGGTAGGGCGAGATGAATGGTGGAAGTAGTTTTGCCGAAGGGTTAGTAAAAGGGAAGTTAGTAAGAAAAAGGTGTGCGCAGGCTATGGCGGGAGTGGCGAAGACAAAAAGGGAGGAAACGAGTATCTCGCTCGTTTCTGAACGGAATCGAGCGAGGGAAGGGTCGTTCTGGGGGTTTTGAGGGCAGGCGAGCCTGAATCTGGAGTTAGAATGGAGCTTAGGTTAGTGGATGTGGTGCTAGCAGAGAAATAGCCTGCGCTGAGCTATGGTGGAGGGAGGAAAACAGAGGAACAAACTTGTAATAAATCTGTCATTTCTTAACCGATTTCTGCGATCTTAGATGCTAATCGGGGGTTTTCGGGGCTGGCGACTCGGAATCCGAGGTTAGATTTAGAAGAAGGGGGTTAATTTTTGTGCTATAACAAAATTGTGTTACGTGACAGGTGTCGAGGGAAGCGGGATATGGAAAGAACGGGGAGTTATTATGTTGGTTCAATCTTCGAAAGAATTGAAGGAAGAGAGGATTGTGGGGTTTTGAGCTGAGGCAGGGCAGATGGCGATGGTAGATCCGACGTAGGATGGGCGATATGACCGGTATGTGTTGAAAGGGATGCGTGTTGCATAACAGAGTGTATCTGGCCGCATAAAAGTGGGAGATTTATTCTGAATTTCAAGATCTGTCTGATATCGGATATTTACCTGGCAGTAGTCTGTACTGGGCGCATAAACATGGATGAGAGAGAACTAGGTGCGTGGGCATACGAAAGAAGAAGAGGGACGGGAGGTGGTCAAGTAGAGGTGGAAAGGAACCAAACGATGTGGGGAGTCGAGAGCAAGGTTGGGAAAGGGAAGTTATACACACCTGATCATGTTGTGGAGGAAGATTCATCCCTCCCACTAGCCTTCGCGAGAGCATTGACGGCAGATGCTCAGATCGTAGATAAAGAGAGAGTGGACGAGAGTTGTCCGCAGCCAATCGAGTGAGGATGGCGAGAGTAAAATGTAGGATTGGGGGGGGAGGAGACCGTGAGGCTGCAAACCTTAC